CCAAAAAATGAAAACACAAAAAATGTGTTTCCGTTTTGAGTTTTGAGTTTTTTTTTTTTTACCACCCAACAGTAGCCACCACTCGCCACCATTTTCCGCCACCACCCACAACCCACTCACCAACACCACCCACCATCTGCCTCCACCACCACCACCCACCACCACCACCACTACCATCACCTACCACCCATCCGCCACCTACCTACCACCACCACCACCCACTTGCTACCACCCACCACTCGCCATCGTCACCTACCCACCTACCACCACCACCTACCCGCCACCACCACCCACTCGCTACCACTTACCACCCACCACTCGCCATCGTCACCCATCCATCCACCATCCACCTGCCACCATCACCACCACTACCCACTCGCTACCACCCACCACTCGCTATCGTCACCCACCCATCCGCCACCACCTACCACCACCAACTACCCACCACCCATCGTTACCACTTTCCACCACCGTCTTCCGCCGCCACTTGTCACCACTTGCCATTTCTCACTCTTTTTTATATTTTTAAATTTTTTTAAACATTTTGTCAATTACTAATCGTGTTTGTAGTTTATGTTTTTTTAAAAATAAACAAAAAATAAACAAAAACCAATTTATAAAATTTTTGTAAATATAAACTGAAAACGTAAACATTACCAAACACACCCTATGTGATCAATTTAATTTTTTATCAACCATTAATTTGTTGACTGTCCATTTTTTTTATACAAAACTAATTTGATCTCATAGCTATGGATATTCGATTAAAGTGATTTTTCGCAGACATATAGTACTCAACGAGTTTTACACATCAAATAGTTCGGATTATCAAAAAGAGACCCGTGATGAGCCTCCGCAAACCCAACAGTACCGTTTAGTCCGATCTCAGACTGGAGCTGAACCCACTGAGAATTTATGCCGGTTCGCTGAACGGTTTGATTTAGAAGGATTGGTTCTGATAAACCGGTCGGTGAGGTTTTTTCAGTTTGCTCTCCGTCTCGCTTCACTCCTTTGCTGCAAGGTTCGCTTTACTAGTTACATCCTGTATATGTGTATATCTATACATTTGCGATTCATGTATGCTTTTCTAGTAGTTAAAGCTTTGATGAATTAGGGCTTGTTTAATTGAATAAAAAAGCAAACTTGAATCAGCAGTATGTATATTTATGAATTTGATGAATTAGGGTTTGTTTAATTGAATAAAAAAACAAACTTGAATTAGCAGTGTATATATTTATGAATTTGATGAATTATGGTTGTTTTGACGTATGATTTATGGTGGAAAATCATGGTCTGTCGCTGAAAGTTATATGAAATTTCCATTGAGGGGTGTAGTTTTGTTATATAGTTTGTATCTGACCCCTTCACGTTAACAATTTGTGAATTTTCCTTTGAATTTGATGTTAGGGCGTGTTTGGTCTCGTTTTCTTTTTCTGTTTTCTATACTCAAAAACAGAATGAAAACTGAAACATGAAAATTATTTTGTTTGGCATGCGTTTCCAGTGTTTTTTTTTTTTGGGTTGGGGAAACACACTATTTGTAAATTATTTTCTGAATTTTTGAAAACTTTATTTGCACTAAATGAAACGATGGATCCTTTTCATTACTCCTGTTTTTAAAATCATGAAAAAAAAAAATGAAAACATCGAAAGAGAAAACAGGAAGGATACTAAATAGGGCCTTATTATCCATGGTAACTTTGTTGGAAATTGAATGCCCTTTATTTAACTGTTAATTTCCTTTTCTTGCAAATTTGGGTCTTTGAGCACATACCATTGATTGATCTTGCATTATGTACCTGACTACATACCATGGTTGTAGTAGAGTCGTTAATCCGGTTCCGTACCAGCCGGATCTTACCGTACCATCAATTCCGTTTCGGCTAAGTTTTTGCATGGTTTCGGCCAGTTTTGCCAATACCGGGAAATTTCGGCCTGAAAACATAATACCACAATACCTGCCGGTACCGTGATTGAGGCATTCTATCTATAATTTGCTCAAAACACATCTTAGATGAAATGTTTTCCACTTACCCTAGACTCCAACCTAACAACAGATTGCTTCAGTGTCTCAAATTGAAGGCAATACAAACGTTGTTCACTGCTCTACCTCTCTAGGTTTGTTGTTGTCCCTCTCGCTTAATCCTCTCAAGAGGTATCTTTGATCCTCTTTATCTTTGTTTGGGACCTTTGGCTATGGATCTTCTTTATAGAAAATTCTGAACTTGATTTCATGATATTTGCATGTTTTCCCTCTTTATATCTTTGACTTTTTGACTTTCTGTTCTTGGATTTCTTTAGTTTCTCTTTTTATTGAGAATTGATGCATTTTTGCTGTGTGTGCATGGTAGGTGTTCGATAAACAGGCCTGGCCCTGGCCCAAGGCGAGCAAGGCCGCCGCCTTGGTTCCCCAAAATTTAACCAAATCTAAGGGCCCTGAAATACTTTTAATCAATGTAATATTAGTAGCTCTAAATTAAGGACCAGCCCAAGTTACTTAACTTCACAACACAGTCCAGACAAAAGGCCCCCAAAAAAATGCGGGGTTCCAAGTTGAATTACAAAAATATATTGGGTAAAGTATGTAAATAATAAAACTCTATCAATTAAACCTAGTGCTTTCTATTCCTTCCCATCTGTAAGCGTTGGAAGCAAATTGTATGGAGACCAAACAAACAGCCAGTCCAAATTCTAGGCCACGAGATAATCGATGCGGTGCTCTTTTAAATTCATTGCTCTTATTTGATTTGAGAACTTTGCTTTTCAATTTAATCTCTTTTTTTTTTCTTTTTTTTTTTTAAAGTTATTGATTGCATTGCTTTTAATTTTGATTTGTGCCATAAATCTAATTTTAATGCCTATTTTTTTAATCTAATTTTTTTGTTGATTAAATTTTGTCATGCTTTTGTTTTGCTTGAATCAAATATTTTCTTCAGTTGTTCACCAATTTTGTGGGTGTTCTTTGAATTGTAGTTATGAATTGAATTTCTATTGAGTTTTAGATAATCTATCTTAGTTGAATTTCTCTTCAATTTAGATTAATTTTATAATCATGGTTGTTCTGTATATGAAAGGAAAAAATAGAAAAACTAATTCAATTTAAATAAAATTAAGTAATTTCATTTAGCCCCATAGTTATTTTTTTTATTTTTTTTTTTGTAGTTTTATATAAAAGACCCCCATTTTAATGTTTGCCTCGGGCCCCGAAAAACGCAAGGCCGGCCCTGCTGATAAATGCTCTGTCTTCATGTCCCAATGTATTCCCAACCATTGAATCATGTGAGAATCTTGAGGTACATGAATCTCAACACATGATCCAGTGGTTAGAAGATCCCATGCCCAAATGGAGTATGAGGAACTGCAGTGTGCGATTTTCTATTCTATATTCATGGCACTTTCCTTTTTTCCAATTGTTGTCAGGATTTTTTTTTTCCCATCATAGTTTTTCTAAATGTTGTCCTGTGGGTTATGTGTGTTTTGTTGCTATGCTCTAATAAATTACAAATATTTTGTGACCAAGGGGGAGCTGTAACCGTAATTCATATTGGTTAAGCTTGACTCTGGATAAAATTCCTACTTATACATGTATAGGATTGTATCTAGGTATCACAATTGCTTCTGTCAAATTACAGTAATCTTGGGGTAATCTCAATGAATGGAAATTACAAATCAGAATAACGCTTGAAGAAAAGTAACTAGTTCACACCTCTGAGATCAACGGTATCTGTTAACTTATTACATTACGCAATAAATACCAGATTAGATGTTTTTGATTTCATTTCTTTTGTCTTTTATATTCCATCCTTTTGGTTGGTGGTTTGTTGCCTTTTGCTGAGTTATCTATCTGGTACAGGGACTAGTAGGCTAAAAATGAATGTTAGTCAAGACACAAAAGCTATAAAGCATGAGTGCAACTAATTAATTTTTGCATTTGATTTTTTTAATTATTATATGTCATATAGGACGTACCGGACTATACCCGTATCTTAGCTTTTGAAGTTTTACCCTATCAACATGCACGTACCCACTCCCATGCTGCTTAGGCACAGAGAAAATACATGATTGAATCGATTGAGGATAGGACCATAGGTAGAGCTGGCTGGCAAAAATGTTTCAAGAGGCAACTTAAATGTTTGTAAAATGGGCCCCCCTTTTTTTAATCCTTTTCTCTTATCAGTAGTAAGTTTTGAGCAAAACATTTTGAGAAAACCCTAGCAATTAACACTCCCATGACCCTTGCAACTGCTCTAATTTGGCAGTACGTTTTGAAAATATTCAAAGACAGGGGAGCAAAGAGCAGGAGAGATACACCAGAAAGAGATTGATCATGGCATTCGGAGGTTCAGCTGTGGGTCCACCAGCAGGGGCAGGAGGACCATCGGCGATAAGGCCGGTGAAGCTAGACAAAGAATGCGAGCTGAGAATTGAAGTTGGTCCTGACACACCTCTCCGCCTTCGGCTCCTTACTGGCACAGCCGAGATCTTTGGCACTGAAATTGCTCCCGAAATCTGGCTCACCTTTCCTCCCAGGCTCAAATTCGCAGTAAGCATCACAAACATATGATTATAATCTTTTTTGATATTTTCAGACACACATACACACTGGTATATATAGACAAACAAATAGTTATAACTAACTATCATTAATCAAAATGACAGTGAATCCACTCTCACTCTGTATTTTGATCCCTAATGGTTTTTTTTTTTTTTTCCATAAGACAAAACTTCAGGGAGGTCCTTCCAGTTAATGTTAAAACTAGTTGTATATTGTAATCATTAATGAAGAAGAAGAAGATACTTTTCATCTCCAATTACTCGATAATTTCCACAAGCACAAATTCCACTTTTATAGGCCCAAAAATCCTTTCACAAAATAAGCCATCTTTTTCTGGTTTATTGGTGTTCAGGGTTGTTGTCACCTCTCCAACTATCTCTCCAGTAGGTAGGATTTTATTGGCCAATAATCAAAGTGCATTTGAGCCAATTGCTTGGTAGCATATCATTTAGTATAAATTTTCTGACACCTACTAAAGGAACTCAGCTGAAGTGATTGGAATAAATTATTGTTTATATTGTAAGTTAGTGTGTTCTCTAACCTCGTCTTGATTGATATTCAATCTCATGTATCAGGTTTATACTTGGTATGGAGCCACAATTGAATTGGATGGCACTACTGAAACTGATTATACAGCAGATGAAGTATGCTTGTTCTCTAAATCAGTTTTGCATCATAATCTAGTATTATGCTGGCATATTTGTTAACAGTAATATTTCAAAAAGTTTTTTTTAATGATGATAAAGCTTTGCATTATTGATTACAGACACCAATGATTAGCTATGTAAATGTGCATGCTGTACTGGAAGGACGTAGAAATCGTGCTAAAGCATCACCTAATGACTCTGATTCTTCACAGGTATTACTTTATTTGTACATTTGATTTGCCAAAGAAAAGATACAAATAGAAAACAAAGAAAGAATTGGTACATGGAATCATATGCCTGTTTAATTATTATTTATCATCTGGAATCTTGTAAAAGTTTCCAAACTAGTTGTTTTACAGTGCAGTTTTGACTGAACATGGGAGCAATCACTTTTGAAATTGAGTAGCAAATTCCATCATAAATAAGAGATATCCTTCACACTTCCAAGAAAGACGTTGACAATGATTTCTACCCTTCTTTGTTGTTTTGATCCAAACACTTCCAGCCTTAAAATTTCATAATGCCCCATATGTTTTGGCATAAAACATTTGCAATTGTAAAATATTTTCCTGTAAATGTTTATGGTAAAATATTATTTTCCCTCATGTTTGGCTAAACTACTAAACAAAACTTCCGTGATAGAGAAATTCTATCAAACATTTTGAAGACAATGAAAAGAAGGCATACTTTAGAACATTGAAATTCCTATGTCAGATCAAATTGAATTGGATAATGAAAGTATAAATCAGTCACCAAGTGATTGAAACTAAAAAAAGGAATGCTACTCACTTTGAGTGAGCCAAAACGCACCATGAGAGCTAAAACATACATTAATGTGTACTATTTGGGCGTTGTTTTTTTGTTTTATGTTTCAAGCTTTGGTCAATCTACACGGCTACTACATCAATGAGTTTTACTTTAATAAAGATTGGGATCTAGACAGCATGATAATAAGTGGCACTTGAGGTGTAATAATAAATATTTACATACATGTGGATAGATGCACAATTACTTTCTTTAGTAGAATTCATTTTTTAATAAGATTGGGAGAAAGAAACCGCTTATGATGTCTGCTTGGCTAAATTTTTTTCAACAAGGAAATATTGGTGTATAAATGAATACAAAACATAACTATCCCATTGATTTGTAGACTAAACTGCATTTTGATGCATATTAGATGAGACTGAAGTATTCAAAACCAGTGCTATGTCTGTTGAAGTGTTCCTTCTTGTAACATAAGTGTTGCAGCACCTGTAGATGTAATTCCAGTTTATTTGGCTGGTAGGGTTTGTTTAAGTGAAAGAATAGCCAAGGATTGTTTTTTGGGTTTGATTACTAAAGGTTTGGGTTGAAGAGAAAAAGATTTTGGTGGGAAATTTAAGGTGTATTTGTGCCATGTTCCCAGGTATTTGGGGGATTGAGGAGACAGTTTCCTGAATGTGCATTCATAATTTAATACAACTCAGATTATCCCTCGTGTGATTTGATTTATTTATCAGGTCTCTCTTTTTTTTTCCTTGGTTCAGGGTCCCAGGGTAATTGTTGTGGGGCCTACAGATTCTGGAAAGAGTACCTTGTCAAGGATGCTTCTTAGTTGGGCAGCCAAACAAGGTTGGAAACCTACTTTTGTGGATATGGATATTGGCCAAGGAACTATAACCATTCCTGGATGTATTGCTGCTACGCCAATTGAAATGCCAATTGATCCGGTGGATGGAATCCCTCTGGAAATGCCTCTTGTTTACTTCTACGGACACACAACTCCTAGGTAATGATTTTTTTTTCTTCATCAATTTTGACCGTTAGTTGTTCACCTTTCATTTTACTTATTAGATTGGTTACACGTGAATACAGAAGCTTGTATTTCCATTTATCACTTCTTGTTTGATTTTAACTTTTCTGTATCCAGTTATCATGGATGTTCTTAGAACTGGTACTTCACAGTGTCAATGCAGATTTGTACAAGGTGCTTGTGAAGGAGCTTGCTCAGACTCTAGAGAGACAGTTCGCCGGAAATGCAGAATCTCGAGCTGCAGGCATGGTAATAAATACCATGGGATGGATAGAGGGTGTTGGTTATGAGGTAACTGAGTTTCAAGTTTCCATTGTTAGTCCTGCTTGTTATATTAAAATTCAGGGGTGCTCTATTAGTATCGATTATGTGGGATATGTTGTTTAATTAGTGTAGTATCTTTTTGTATGTTGATGCAGTTGCTTCTTCACGCAATTGATGCATTCAATGCTAATGTTGTTCTGGTTTTGGGTCAGGTAAATGCTTTCCATATGAAAACTTTTGTCCTGTGTGTATTGCTGTGATCTAATTAAAACTAATCCTATTATGAATTGCATTTGCTTTGATTTGGTTAGGATAGTTGTTTGCGTGCCACTTCAGTAAAACTGCTTAGAAGCAGCTTTTTTTGCCTTAAGTTTTGAAAATGTTTGTTGTGGGCTGCTGCATTTTGACAAAGCCGACTGTTTGGTATAACTTGTCAGGCTTTTAGTTTATTTGTTTTCTAAATTCAATAAGCTGCAAGTGCTCACTTTTTTTGCAGCTGCGATTGGATTACTTCAATTTTTAATTTTTGTATTTTTTTAAGCTGCCAATAAGTTTTACTTAACTGCAACATTGGGCTTAATATATTATGATATTCAAACAACAATGCCGTTGTTGACATGTCAAAGAATGAGATACATTGATAAGCTTTTCAGCTCAAATTTACCATTTTAACAATCGAAAACCATGTTTCTCCAGATAAACTAATTATATCCACACTCTGATCGTGCTTCTGGGAAGTTTCTTTTTAGTTTTTGATTTTAAATATTACGATTGTGGCTGTATCTCACTGCATTGCTACTGAATGTCATTAAGTTCAATTTTGTCCGTTAGTTTTGCATGTGCACTGGTTGCTAGTAACTTAAGAAACTATTTCAGATTCAATTTTCACCCTGGGGTGGTTCATGTTTTTAAGCTCACCCAAACTCTCTGCAGGAGAAACTTTGCAGCATGCTGAAAGATGTATTGAAAAGCAAGCCAAATGTTGATGTTGTGAAACTTCAAAAATCAGGTGGTGTTGTATCGAGGAATGCAAAAGTCCGTCAAAAGGCCAGGAGCTACAGAATAAGGGTAAACATCAGCCTTTTTGGTTATATATATAGGAATTTTGTCAATCATGTAGTTATTTGTGTTAGTATGGAGAAAATCTTGAATGATTATTTACAAATTTCCTGCCTTTTTCAACAAATCCTTTTGTGTTCCCTTGTTATAAAGCTAAATCATGCCGATATTTTTTATTCCAGGAATATTTTTATGGCCTTGCAAATGATCTTTCCCCACATTCCAACATCACAAGGTTCAGTGATTTGTCTGTCTATAGAATTGGTGGTGGACCACAGGCCCCACGTTCAGCCCTGCCAATTGGTGCAGAGCTTGCTGCCAACCCTACATGATTGGTTCTTGTGAATATCAACCGGGATTTGCTTCATTTGGTTCTTGCTGTTTCTTTCGCCAAAGAACCAGACCAAATTATTTCAAGGTATATGCAATGTCCTTGCCTTTCTTTTTTCAAAATCCATGGTATCATAAGATGGGGGGTGAATTAGTAAAACTTTTTTGAATGTCGCCACTATAATGTACATTTGGCCTCATGATTTAAGTTGACTCATCTGTAAATTTTTTAACCTTGTTTAAGTGCATGAATTGAATAATTACTTTTTTCTTACAGTAATGTCGCGGGGTTCATCTATGTCACAGACATAGATATTCAGAGGTTTGGATTTCAAAATTCTTCATTACTTGATGTGGTTCATACGCTTTTTTTTTCTATTCTTTTCTTAAATTCTAATTTATCATATTCAGGAAGAAAATTACATACCTTGCACCATCGGCTGGGGAACTCCCGAGCAGATTCTTGATCATGGGAACTTTGACATGGCTTGAAACCTAAAGTGCCCAACTAACTGCATTCCTCATTTTCCTCAAATCGTTCAGTGTTAATCTTATCACTGATTTGTGTATGTTTAATGCTTGTACTGACACTGCAAGGGGGTTTTAAGAGGTGAAACCCATTTATTCTGCTGAGAGGATTATTTTGCATATGATTCACTGTAATGTGTATATTCACAGATAGCTAGCTGATAACATGGTTGATGCTTGCAATTTTTTATTATTATTATTATTTTTTTGGTACATAAAAAATTCAATGATAAATCATCCTAAATAGAAATGTTTAGGCAGATAAATGACCCTAAATAGAAATGTTAGGGACCTTAAATTGACGTGAGATGTGATAGTAAAAATAAATAAATTTAATTAATTTAATTGAGGATATAATTTTTTATAGAGCATAATGTCGAAAAAGAATTCAATTGGCATGAGGATTAATTTAATTGGGACACGAGGGTTGGTTTAGTAATGAACGTGATCTTTTATTTTTTAATCTTGATCCAGTAATGTACGTGATTTTTTATTTTTTAATTTTGATCTGTGACATAATATTCATAATTATATCATAAAAGGCATGAGGAAGCCCAAATATTTCTCTTGGGAGAGAACCTGTGAATTCTGTGAATTCAATAAATATTCAGACATAGAATCAATCAGAGTTAACCACATAATCACTTAAAATACAACAATGCTAGGTGATTTGAATTTTCATGGCTTAAATGTCTCAAAAAGATGCCGTTTTGGTCTTTTATTTGATTTTTTTATTAGCTTGTTTTAATTTTGGCAACCCAAAAGCTACATAAAAGCCCATAAAAAATAAATATTAATCCACATAAAACAATTCTAGCAATAATTCACCCATATTTTATGGAAAAATGCTTGGTGGCCCGAATTTGTGTGGTCCGAATGGTTTGAATGTGTCAAAACGATATCGTTAAAACTAGTTAATAAAAGAAAGTTTATCCAAACAGCCGTTTTATGTGGATTAATATTTATTTTTTATGGGATTTTATGTAACTTTTGGGTTGCCAAAATTAAAACTAGCTAACAAAAAAATCAAATAAAAGAAAGTTGATCCAAACAGCCGTTTCTAACCCCCTCAAATAAAAAAAATAAAATAAAAACGGTTCCTAACCTATTATTCCTAAATTAGATCTCCATTTTAATTTAAAGGCCACCTTTTCTGAATTTTCTAAATCAAATTTAAGGCATAAAATTTTACAACAAAGAAAACACATTACGGCCATACATTATTGCAAGGTATAGTGTTAGGCGGTTTTTTTTATTATTATTAAAAAATGATATTTAAAAAAAAAATAGTACTATACATATCTTAATAAAGTTTAAATTATATAATAAATGTACATAAAATAAAATATACCATTACTACTTTAAAACAATAATGCCGGCCTATTAAATAAGTGAGCCTAAAAAGCTTTTACGGCCCAACTTTATAGGTTTAAATACTTATCCCAAGTTCTTAAAAAAGTGGGCTGAGATGAGTGGGCAACGGGCTTGTGCCCACCCCTAGCATGACTTCTCTTTTTGGAAATCTGCTTGGTTTTTCAAAACTAGTTTTTTAAGTTTTTAATTAGTATTTTTATATTTTTAAAAATATTTTAATTATTTTTTTTTTGTAATCTTGGTATAATTAAAAAAATAAAATTTATACAAAAATCTTTAAAAAATTCATTGAATACAACAAAATATGAAAATGTACTAATTTTTGTATTTCTTTATATTTTTTATATTTGGTGAGTTTTTTAGAAAAAAAATCATAAATAAATTATGTGAATCTAAAAAATAAAAATAAAAAATTACTTAAAATATTAAAATAATGGGAGATTTATTAGAAAATATTTTTTTAAGTGTCTGTATCCCAATTAGTCCATAAGATATTATTGTATTCCAATAAATCCTATTATTTGAACATTTGATCTACCAAATCCTAATTCTCATATTTAAAGTATTTTATGGACAATTCTACTCTTGCAAATATTTTTTGAATGGTTAGTAATTTAGAGATATAAACATTCATATTTTACAATGTGAATATTCACATTGACGGTGTGAACATTCACATCACGGAACATTCATATTACGAAATATTCATATTGTAAATGTGAATATTATTAGGGGTATTTTGGTGACTATGTCACTCATATGACTTATTGGAATATAAGAAAATAATGTGGACTAAATTAAACATAAGTAGGTGAAAAGAGATTTATTAAAAAAAAATGCCCCTAAAATAATCCCCTGAGAACAAAAAAAAAAAATTACGAAAAACAAACAATAAATTTAAAAATACATAAATCAAATACAATAATATATATAAATATCTATCTATTCATGTGTTTTCATCGTCGATACGTCAATTTAGAAAATGTTTTAGATTAATATCAACATAAAGGTGTTTAATTTTACTATATAAGTTAATCGCCTTCAAATATGACATAAGTTGACAAGTATCTAAAAATTATTCCTCCTTTGGACTCTAACAAAAGGACCCCAAAAAACTTGGAAAAGATAAAAATTTAACTACAAGAAGAACTCTGAGAGATTGAAAATCATCATATTATATATATATTATTAAAAAAAATACAAAAAACAAACAATAAATTTAAAAATACATAAATCAAATACAAAAAAATATATAAAAATCTATCTATTCATGTGTTTTCATTGTCAATGCGTCAATTTGGAAAATGTTTTAGATTAATATCAACATAAAAATGTTTAATTTTACTATATAAACTAATCGCCTTCAAATAAGACATAAGTTGACAAGTATCTAATAATTATTCATCCTTTGGACTCTAACAAAAGGACTCAAAAAAACTCCAAAAAGATAGAAGTTTAATTACAAAAAGAACTCTGAGAGATTGAAAATCATCATATTATATATATATATATATTATTAAAAAAAATACAAAAAACAAACAATAAATTTAAAAATACATAAATCAAAAACAAAAAAAAATATATAAAAATCTATCTATCGATGTGTTTTCATCCTCCATGCGTCAATTTGGAAAATATTTTAGGTTAATATCAACATAAAAGTGTTTAATTTTACTGTATAAACTAACCGCCTTCAAATAAGACATAGGTTGACAAGTATCTAAAAAGTATTCCTCCTTTGAACTCTAGCAAAAAGACTCAAAAAAACTCGGAAAATATAGAAGTTTAACTACAAGAAGAATTCTGAGATATTGAAAATCATCATATTATATATCATATCATATATATATTATTAAAAGTAGCATTTTTTTCATGCTTAGGTAACACATATTATAAGAGCTTACTTTTTACGTCAACATTTATTTTATTAATTACAAATAGAGTTCTATACAAATTCAAACTAATTTAAATTAGACTAACTTTACATATTTTATATGGAGTCTATTTGACAAATATTTTTTTTCATATATTTTTCATTGTAAATTGAGATAATTCACAAACTCAATACCAATTTTGCGTTTCACATTTTTTTTCTTAATTCCTTCAAAATAAATAAATAATACTAAATTGCCTTTTTTTTTCTTTCTTATTTGCATGTACATTATTTTATACCCAATATCAATTATATATTATTTTATAGTATGGATTTGTCGTTTAAATTTTATAGTGATTTTATATATGAAATTATATTTCATTTTCTAATTTATTTTATATAATCACAACACATAGCAGGAAAAACTTGCACAACAATAATACTCTTGAGGAACCTCTAAATTTTGAATTTACTGTTTTCAATTATTGAACAGTAAATTCTTTTATGTTTTGACATCATATTGCAAATGATTAATTACTTCACACATTGAGATATATTTATCGTTTGGATATTTTCATTACTTTTCTTTTTAGGTTTAAATATTGTTATACGATTTTTTCTTACGTAGTCATTATTAAATTTTTTTAATATAATTGATAGTTGATATTTTACAATTTTATAATTTAATATATATATATATATATATATCATATAAAATCATTATATGATAATCCAATTACAACATATTTATATTTGATTTTTTTAATAAATTTTATATAATATATATTTCTACATATTTTTATTTTTCAAATGAATATAAAAAAAATTAAATAGTTATAATTAATTTTAATTTTATGTTACTAATTATTCTTCTAATTTACCCATTATTTTTAATATTAAAATGAGTATTTATTTTACTATCTTATAATTTAATATATATCATATAATAATTATACTTTTATAATACAATAGAACTAAAATTATCAAACTAAACAAATAATTTAACTAAAATTAATATATATAAGTATTCAAGTAACACTTTTATAGATATCAAAATACACAAATAATTTAACTAAAATTAATATATATGTGTGTGTGTGTGTGTGTATTCAAGTAACAATTTTATAAAACAATATTGCAAATATTATCAAAATAAATAATTAAAATCATACTATAATTTTAATTTTAAATTAAAATTAAATTTAAAATTATTATTTTATAACACACATTGTACCATCATTGGAAACAAAAAAAAGTACGTGCATTGCACGGGTCAATTGCTAGCATATTGTTAAAAGTAAAATTTTTCTCATACTTAGGTGACACATTGTAAGGGTTTACTTTATTTTAAGAGAGCCACGTCAACATGTATTTTCTGAATTACAAAGAATTCTATAGAAACCCAAACTTAATTTAAATAATACTAACTTTATCTATTTTATATAGACTCTATTTGACAAATATTTCTTTTCCATATATTTTTTTTCTTCTTAATTCTTTCAAGGGTATTAAGATTTTTTTTAATTCTAAATTATCTTTTTTTCTTCTTCTTATTTTCTTGTGCATTATTCTATACTCAATACCAATTCTATATTATGGATTTATTGTTTAAATTTTATAGTGATTCTATATATGAAATTATACTTCTTCTTACATTATTTTATATAATCACAACTCACAGGAAGAAAAACCTGCACAAAAATGATATTCTCAAGGAACCTCTAAAGTTTGGATTTACTGCTTGACTTAATTTTTAAATTGTTGAACAGTAAATTTTTTTATATTTTGATATCATATTACAAATTATTAATCAATTCATATACTGAGAGAGAGATTTGCGCCGAGCTATGGTGTCGCGGGTCATGACGACAGACCCTACTAGGATCGAATTGCTTTTGACCAGATTGAATCAGAATAGCCTCTCGGCCTATCACGATTGGCCGAGCCACATCGCT